TAATAGTGGCATTGTGAGGATTAAATGACAAAATAGCTATAGCTGCACTTCTCAGAATTCATGCCCCACGTGTTAGTGATTGTTTTTATTTACTGCTTATGTGGCACTGGACTGTTTATAAAGTGTTTTCATATGCTTTACTTTATCTTATCATTGCAACAGCCCAGTAAGATTAGCAAAATCGTTTTATTCCCACTTTCCAGATGAAGAAACTGTGGCTCAGAGAGATACTAAAATAGACAACGCAATAAACTGTCCTTCTACATTTCCTGATTGTTTTTTCCTTATTTTAGGGTTCTAGAAAAAAATTAACGTGTTAGTGACATAACTCCCAGCAGCAGCAATTATTTCTATAAGTTAATTAAAATACCAAATGTTGTGTGTCAAAGGAGGTAGGATATTTGTGTTTTTACATTAATTATGTTTGTGACACTTTTTCTAGACAGGTTAGAGAAGTGATATCAATTTACTTTGTGCTGGCACCTGTTGGTAGGAGCTCAAGTCCCTTCACAGACTTACACCTTTTTAACTCTTACCTGCCTCCGCCATTTCTTGGCCTATAAGGAAGAGTCAGGTTTTGCTGTCCCAGGGTTTCTGAGCAGGAAACCAAGTCACCAAGGGGCTGTGGGAATCGCCACAGGGAGTGAGGGGTTGGACAGACTGTCTTTGCTCCTTTTGTCTTCCAGACCTTGGCACCTCCTTCGCTTTTCTACATCCCAGACCGAAACAGCCCATAATTATATTCTACAGCCATTGTATGTAAGAGACAATATGTTTTCCATTGTGTTATTTTTAGCTGCCGTGTTCCTAGCCAGGGAAAACACTCTATTAGTCTCAGGGTTTTCCTAATGGCTTTTCCAATGTTTCCAAGTCAGACTGTTCGGCAGCGTGCAGGTTCCGGCCTCCTGGAAGAAGGAGCACCGGCTAGGCTCATCGAGTGGGATTCTAAAGGTGTTCTAACCTCTGAGCTGCTTGAGGTCGAACTCATTTTGTCCCAGATAACATATAAATGAATTAAATGTGGTCACATGAATGGCATCAGGCTGCATTGTGGACTCCAGTGCCCAGCGCTGGTTTGGGTGCTGAGCAAGCTCTGGTTATCTCAAGGGCAGATCTGTGAGTCTGAAAGCAAATATTTATTTCATTCAAAGTTCAGCTCCAAATGGGAACCACAAAGCAGCAAGTTGAAGGTAAAAAGGGTCACGAAATCAAACAGCCATAGGGTGCCAAAATTCCAGATAGGTTCAGAATCACTAATGAATATTTTATGCATTTTTTTTTTTTTTTAACCCACAGACCCTGTTTTGGAAGTCCATTAAAGCTTTTTATTACACTTTATTGTTGCATTGTTCAGAGCTTATCTGTTGATCAATAAGTAATGATTGCGTCTAGAAGCGTGTTTTGTACCTAGCGGGGTTTAGTAAAGGTTAGTTGAGTCAGAGAGGCTGCGTGCACAGTGATTCAAGAGCCGGGTGTCTGGGTTCGAATCTTGCCTCCATGACTTCCTAGTAACACAGGGTTTCCATTGAAGAACGTATGTAGGTCTGTTCATATTCCAAAAAAAAATCTAGCATCTGATTTCTAAAAGCCTCTTAAGAAAGGAATTAGTGATCTCTAAAAATCATATTTTTTCCTTTTAAAAACTTTTTGGAATTTCTATGGAAATTATTTCTTCAGAAAGAAAGGCCCTGGAATCTCCCAGTTTGGGAAATGGAACTCGCGCTTCCTGCGGGACAGGCCGTTGGAGAGGTGGAGAGTTCATCTGAGTGGGAGGGAAGCTATTTCTAGAAGCTGTTTAAGGCTCAAGCCCTTGTTACTGCTATTCGTCAATTTAACTTCATCAGAAACAGTCTTGTGTTGACGCTGATGGGGAGTAAGTTTCCAAAACTCTATTTATTTCCACAAAAAGTCATCCTGAAAAATTGTGTCCTCCCAGATAACGTTGCTTTTCTTCTTCAGATGTGTGGTGGCTGAGGGATGAGCAGGGGAAGTGGGCCGGGTGCCTTTCTCCTCCAGCAATCAAACTTTTCTCTTGCTTTTCTTTCCTCAACTCTTTCTTAAGCAGCTAAAAACGTGATTTAGTAGAAGCTAAAATTCCTCAGGGGACCCCGAGTTTGGGATCTGTTTTTATTATGAATTGTCAGGTACCATGAATGGCCTGTGAATTTTGGCCAGTTTGTATTTCAGGGTGGAATTTCCTTGAAAGTCATTCCAATATTGATTGCCTTCCCATAAACTTTTTCTGGAGGCATGATATTAAGGTGGGCAGGATCCTGAGGTTACTAAATCTGCTGTCCCCTATAATACCAAAACAACAGGTCCTCCTTGGTTCATGGTGACAGTTGTGTGGCTTCTGGGCAACTGGAGGCCTTGGAACCTGTGGGCTGTGGTGGAGAGAGTGGAAATCTAGACAACCTTAGCTAGGAAGGGATGAAAGATGGAGGTTGGGATGAGCTTTACTCTAATGACAGGAAGCTCTGCTGCTTTTGTTTCCAGGCAGTGGGCTTATAGGCAGCGGAAAGAAGTTAGAACTACCCATTTGTATGAATGATGAGAGCAAATGTGAAATATTATACATTTGGAGAAATCCTTCTCTAGAGATCTAGGAAGCTGTGCATTCCTTTCTGTAAGAATGTACCTGTGATGGCATGAGAACAGTCCATCCAAAGTAAAGGCAGGTGATAGCTTTGTGGCCTCTTACAGCTCCAGGATTCCATATTATGGGTTTCACTTCACACCTTATGTGCCGTTGCATGGGACTCTTAACTTGCACTCCTGTCTGCTAGCACATGATGAAGCAAGAGGAGTGGTAATGGGGTTTCCCACCAGTGGTTTTACTAGCTTAGTAAATGCAGGTGGTAACCTTGGTCCCCATAAACCCGATGGTGGGACTGTCCTCAGAGCTATGAGCCCTCCCTGTCTGGTTGTCCTGCTCTGTGCTCTGCTCAGATCATGCAAGATGGAGAGAGCAAAGACCCCCATCCCAGAGTGTGTGGCCCTGTGAACTTTTCAGAAAGGACTTTCTTTGGCCTGGCCACCTGGCACCACATGTTTTTTGGGACAGCTGAGAAAGCAGCGGTTCAGGTGGGCCCTTGGTGATTTTCAGTCTTTGGCATTAAGAATGCTTGTCAACACCCCTCAGAATGTCATGTGGATGTCAAATCACATTGTCATAGTAGTCATTAGTAAGGTAAATGTGTCACCACCATCATTCAGCCTGCTGTTCCAAAGGGACGATTTTTTTTTAATCTGTTTAAATTTTGCTGAAGGAAAGGTTGTATGGACTCCATCCTTAAGTGTAACTTTATTTGGACCTTTTTCAGGGTAAGTTTTAAGACTGCAGCAGAAAGCAACGCCAGCCAAATGCCTCATAAAAGACAATTTTCAATTTCTTCTTTGGGGACTGTGTGTGTGTGTGCACGTCTGTGTGTGTGTCTGTGTGTTTATGATGGTGAGAATAGCACAAACTCTGATTTAAAACTATTCTCTTTTGAGAGCAATTATAGCAGTGCCCTCATAATCTATTAACTTGACCCCTTTTAATTGCTGTTTTGATTGCTTCTTTCTCTTCCTGTTAGGAAAATACTGCAATGACCTTGTGTATCTGTGCACATATCAGCAAATCTGAGAAATAAATTCCTAGATGTCAAATTACTAGTTTACTACTACTAGTTTGTTAGGATTGCTAGTGTCAAAAGGTATTGCTCAATTTCCTCTCAAAAAAACTCACCAATTCGGTCTGTCACTATGAATGTCTGAGAGTATGTTATGGCGCATTGAGAGAAGCCGCTTCACTGTGGTCATGACAATATATGAAATAGACCCCGTGTGCAGGTGTGGACACATAGCCCAGTTATAGTAAATAAACATTACAATTTACAAAGCAGTACAGAGAGCATGATCCCATTTGTTTTAAAAAGGCTGGATCCTATTTGTATGAAAAAGCATATTCATTTTCTGTATACATATCTACACGTTAAAAATTTCTAGAATGATGCCTGATAAATCAGAAAGAGGGCCTAGTGGGCTAGTGAAGACAGAAGCTTTTATTTTTGACTTCTGGACTTCTCTCCTATTTATATTTTTATCATATGCCTATAATACTTTAAAATTTGAAAACCAGTTTACAACAGAAACAGTTGTGTGGGGTGTGGCCTGTGTTCTTCGAAGGGAGACCGCCAGTTTCCAGGTAGACTGAGAAAGCGACTCTCTTCGTCTCACACACTGACCTGGGAGCATATTTGTGCTTTCATGTAGTTGTCCCTTGAGGAAAGTGGTGATTCTCTGCTTTTCCTTTTCCTTCACAGGGACAGTCAATTCTCATGCCATTAGTAGTCTCGTTCCCAGCAGAATCTTCCCTAACCGAGTTTATTCCGGTCAGGACCCCCACCTTTCCCATCAGTGCTGTTTTGGGTTCTCAGCATCAGGTGTGTTTGGATTAAATATGTTTAAGCTGCACGAGCTTTTCAATAAAAGCAGTGAATTCACCCTCCCAGGTCAGGCCATCTTCTGACCCATTGTTTAAAATGTTCACGTGAAAATACTTGATGACTAGACCTTGCCCCTTGCCAGCTTACTAAGGATCAATTTTGGATAAAGGATTACTTAGGCTTCCGTATGATGTCTGTAACGATATAATAATGATTCACTTTCCTAAATGAAAACGAAAATATTTTAATATACAGGACATTTAGATTTGTAAAGACTTTTCTTTTACAGCAAGACAAGTCAAAAATAGCAGGCATACTGTTGGAGGATGCCTTTTGAAAGAAAAGAAACAACCCATTTGATACTTCAGAATCCCTGAAGAAAGCTTTAGACATTATTTTCAACTCCAGCTCCTTTTTAATTCAGATGCACAGAATGCATTACCACAAATACAGTAGATTTGATTTATCCATTCTTTTGCACAAGTTGGTATGTACGTATCTTCATTGAAATTAGACTTTTCTTCTTTCTCCTTCTCAAAAGCTCCTTTTGAAACTTCACGTTTTTCCCAGATATGTACTTTTTTGACTTCATAAAATATCTCCATTCTGCAGCTAACTGCAAATATTTGCAAAAGGGAAAAAATATAAAATAAATGTCTCTTAATGTGGTGTGTTTTGAGTAAACATATGCTTGACGTTAGTTGGTTAACCTAAGAAATAATGAGGAATCACTATGCTTAGAGGAGAAAGGGTAGAGTGGTGGCTGTGATGTGCAAAATAAGGAGAGCCATAATTTAAGCAATTCCATTAAAGAGACTATAATTACTGTAGCCTCAGGGTGGTGGCCGGTCACTTTTAAGCCTAATTGAACTTTTTCTGTATCATTAGAAAAATGGACCAAACTTTGTGTATGGTGGGATAAATACAGTATTTTCTTCCTACACATATTAAATACCACTGACTTTTAAAGACGTATACGTCTAACTCTTGAACGCCTTCATGCACGCCAACACAATGCAATAAGCCTTTCCCTGTATGCAGGCAAACCACTGCAAATAAATCCTGGAATGCCCACAAGTATTATTACGCGCTGTATGCCAGAAACTTTCACGCAAATTATCTCATGTGACCCTCTGAAGAAATCCTACAGAGGAATAAGTATAAATAAGGAAACGAAGGATTAGAAGAGTCTAGAGACTTCATTCTGTAGGCTACAGAGCGGGCGTTTGAACCCGGCGGTTCTGACTCAAGCCCAGGGCATTTTTCTGGGATCCCTGAGGTGTTCGCTGTGAACACTGTTGTTCATTTTACGAGCCTGGATTTGCAAACACTGTAACCACGCACCGAATGATTTACTCCTTGCCTCTGTAGCCTCGCGTCCTCCTTGTGCCTCCTACCTTTTATTGCCATTTTAACATGACCCCAAAGGGTGGACTTGAAGAACGGAGGAGGTTGCAACAGCAATCGGTTTTGCTACTTGTCACCAGTGCCTCTGAAGTCAAGCCTGCAGCTGACTTGTCAGGAATGCACACCTTCCTCCTGGCATCAGCGGCCGAGAGCTGCAAGCTTCGATCAGATCCCTCCTTCAGAAACCAGCTCTCTGTGAGCAGACCTTTAGAATTCGCCCGAGAGAAAGAATGCCCAGTGGTTCACAGCATGGCCTTGTGAACACATTTTGCATAGTTACCCCCAAGCACACGCACTCCCCTTGCCAATATTCTGCGTGTGATTGCAAAAACTCTCACTGGACTTGATGGGACAAATTGGGCAGCTTTCACAGGTGACTTCCTTGTGCAGGCCAGGATAAATATAGATCAGAGGCACCAGGCCTGGGCCCAGGTTGTCCAGAAAGGCCAGCACAGTGGCCTCTGTACGTTTTGATAAGCCACTGGAACTTTGTAGAATCGGAAATTTTTACATAAAAATCAAATTTCTTACATTATAAGGGAAAAATCAGATGATTGGGAAATGCTGGGCTCAAATTCCTTTGTTAAAACTGCTTCTAGAGCTAAGTAGCAGCTGCCCCATTAAGATGGGGGATCCAGGTTCCCGGGTTCACCATAGTCCCTCACTCTCCGTCCTACCCCTGTGTCCCTCACCTGCTTGACTGCTCTCGCAGCTTCCATGTTTGTAGGCCTGCTCCATGAGGCACCGTAGTGAAGTGGGAGGAATCTGGCCTTCGTCCTTGGACAGACTTAGGGCTGGGAACTGGTTCTACCACTTACCTCTTTGTGTGGTCTTGGGCAAGTCACTTGATCTAAGGAAGCTTCCGTTTCTGCAGCCAAGTGGTTTGCAGATTGCAAGTGTGTGAGAAATACCTAACCCAGTACCCAGCGTGCGGTAGATGCTCCATACATGGAAGCCCCTACAATGGAAACATCTCACAGAACATTCTGGGAGAAAGGATAAGAGTCTACCAATCAGAGTTTTAAATATTCGTAGGTTGTTCACAGGAGGGACCTTAGAGCTGCTACAGAAAACATCCTAGCTTTATGGAGAAGGAATCGAAAGCCAGGAGTTGACAGTCTAGTCCAAGATTACTCAGTTACTCAAGGCCAACAGGTCCAGAGCCAGTGGCTTTCCACTGAACCACAAAAAGTCTTCGGAGTATGGTTTTGAGGATGAAGTATGTGAAAGTGCATTTTGCATTTGAATTGAATTAGGCAATTTCGGTTAGCATGAAGATGGTACAGCTGCGTGTGATCATCAGCTTTGGAAAGAACGGAGTATCATTGACTCATTCATTCCTTCAGCATTGACTGAGTCTCTAGTGTGCACATTCCTGAGCTGGAAATCCAGCACTGGGCCTGCTGGAAGGGCCACCGCCTTCGGAGAGCTTCGACCTCACACGGGGAAGCAGAGGAGAAGACAGATAAGCAGACGATTTCAGGTGACCATGGATGCCGGCAAGGAAAGCAAGAGGCTTTTGTGAGAAGCAGCCAGTCTTGCAAACAGCCAGGCAGAGCGTGGGCAGGTAGGAAGTGCAGGGACCCCGAGGCAGGAAGATTTATCTCCTAAGGACCCAGGTGACCTGGGAGAGGTGCCCAGAGGCTAAGGAAGCCAGGATAAAAGTTTGGATTTTATTCTTAGGGTAGTGCAAAGGATTTTAAGCAGAAGAGTGATAGAAAATATTTAGCTTTTGTTCAAACACTATTTTACACAGAAGCCCCTTTCAGGGTGGGGTTGGAGAGAAGACTTTTAGCTGAGCCAGTCTCCCCTCCCTCCAACTCTGTGACTGTCCCCAGGGGGTCCTTTGGCTCGCCAGAGCTCCCTATAGTGCACTGTGGAGACCTCCAAGGCAGGCAGTTTTCAGAATCCGGAGAATCTGTGACTTGCCCACCTAGGGTCCCATGCCCAGTGTCCAGAAACACAATGCAGTGTTCTTGTCATTAACCCAAAGGCTGATTGCTGGTATTTCTGTTCTTTTTTTTTCGTTTTTTTCCTAATTCTCAACACTTTTGTTGGCTCTCATGTATTCACTCTTGGGTCACTAGAATGTTCCCTCTCAACCACAAAAAAACTATAGGTTGGTGCATAATGTCTGAAACGGGATACACGTGTCAGATGTCCCTGAATTTGAGTTTTCCAATGACATTATGATACAGCTAACTTTTGCCTTTTTCTGTGCTCTCAACTCAAAAAAGAAACCATTCATTTGTATTTCAGTCCAACTCAGTTGTTTTCGTTTTGTGGTGGTTGATTTGAGGTAAGATGTTGCCAATGGTAGAAACCGCCAGCTCCCACACGAAGCCCACCCTGAGCTCCCCCTGCTCCTAGCACAGGCCGGGCCTTCAGATCCTACCCAGCTAAGGTTGGCTGAACAGTGCAGTGTAGACAATGACAGTCCCACTAGCACCTTTAATTCTGGGCATTGTGTACTTTAGGCTTGTGTGTAAAAATTATGGAAGTGCTGGAAAGGGCAGGAGATAGCATTGAGCGCCTTCATTTTACAGGTCAGGAAACTGAGCCTCAGAGAAGTGGTGTGATTTGGGTCAACCTCACAGCTTGCAAGGGCGAGAGCAGGTCTGGGATCCAGGCTTCTGACTCCTCCGAGTGACCCTTGCACACCAGCACGTGTGCTTTGAGACCAAGTTCTGAGCATGGTCAGGCAGCGTGGGTGGCACAGGTCATGCCATCAGGAAATCGGGGGCATATTCTTGGGTAGCTCTCAAGCATTTGTGTGTCATGGTCTCACTCCGCCCCCACCCTCTGTCTTTATTCTTTATTCTGTTGTTCTAGAAGTTTCTGCCAGGTGGGTTTTGGGGCCAATGTGGTCACAGAATGAAGCATCCTCACCATGACCGCATTGCTTTTCACCATGAAGCAGTTCGACCAAACGCTGATGGTGAGACCCTTGGCAATTTGGGCTTTGCCTCATGATGGTAGAGGCGCAATAAACAAATTTTGATGTGAACTTAGTAAAGATCTGTCTCTTTTTAATCTGAAACTGCACAAGAACGTTAACTGCCCAGATGTGTGCTGGTGAACTTTAAATGGCTCCTGCCCGCTCTGTTCCCTGTTTGACTTGAATTTTCTTGAACAAGTGGTGTGTGGGTTCAGCCCATTTGGCCGAGTGAGAGGTATGGGAAAGAGGTACATTTGCACCCTCCTTTTTGGTGTCCACATCCGGATTTACCTAAACCCCACCCAGGTTGCATTTGCGTAGCAATGAAAAACCAGTATTTTCGATCCATGAATCACACTATAAATCCTGGGCCTCTGTCTGTCAGGGGTGCGTCAGGCCAACTCGCAAGAAGGATGGGCACAGTTGAAGGCGAGCTACGTGCAGATGGGGAATGTCCTGCTGCCTGGGGGCCCGGCAGGTGACTGCTGATGTCCACTTGTGGATCTGGACATGGAGCCATCTGTGTGTCCTCCTGTAGAAAGGCCGAGAAAGGACGGCAGCTTCCTGAGTTTCTGCTGTCGGGGACCTTGCAGTGCCGCAGACAAGAGTAAGGTACAGAAGTGGCATGCTCCCGGGGGTTGCTACCCCTCCTTGGGCTCTCTCATCCGCTGTGCAGTGTGTCCCCTCCTTACCTGGGCAGCTCACCTGGGCTGAGCGGTTCCTGGCCGTTTACTGCTGCGTGGGAGCTGGAGAGGGCTGTGGGTCACAGGGTTTCTTTTAAGTCAAATGGTGCTTCAGTGCAGAGGATGGTTGCCCGCAGCAGTTAAACCTTGTTTAATGATAATTAAATTGCTTTTCTTTACCCTGAAAAATCTCTTCATTTTCTGTACAAAGGCAGGAAGCATTTCTCTTTGATTACACGGAAGGTCTCTGGGTAAGGTGTAATCTATTTTACCGTCCTGGATGCTGAGATAATGAGTCTGCGGGATCCTGATTTGTAAACGCCACAAAGATTAGAAAACCGAGTGCTTCCAGTTAAGAATTTTCTCAGAAACCAAAAAAGCTGCTTTTCCCTCCTTCCGCCTCTCCCTTAGGTTCTGCCTTAATGCTTGGGTTAGGAGTCTCTTAAAACCCCCATGGCTTCTGTTGAACCGGTCTGGGTTACCTTTTCAAAGAGTGGAGGAGGTGTGGCGTGTCCCATCTTGCTCCTTCCTGACTTAATCCCTACTCACTGACGTCGCTGAGCTGCCCCAGGAGCCCGCGGAGCTGGAACAGTAGAAACCTCACCTCTCCCAGGCCTTGAGGAGTTGACCAGCCCTTCTTCCTGGGAGGAAAAGGTTTTCAGACAGTGGAGGCCGCAAAGAAGAGACTTTGGCTGAAGGCCACATGAAGAAACAAGCAAAGCTCCAAAAATGAAAAGCCCTAAAACAGGACTTCATTTGCTGAGTCTTTGTCTGATCTGTCGTTTCATGTGCCCGACTTCCCACTGTCAGAATTAAGATGTTCTGGAAAGAAAGCTTAGGAAATGTGTTTAGGAAAAGCTTGAGGTAGCGATAGAAGGGAGGGAAACCATGAATTTTCCTGAAGGAACTGAACCAAGTTTGGTTTTAAAAGCTTGAGTTTTAAATTTCAGTGGAAACGTTTGGCAATATGAGGATTTGTTTGTGCACTTGTGTGTGTTGTGTTGGAGCACTGGAACATTTTGGCTCACACTGCTGTTGCTCTCGCAGTCTTTGAGGTTGACTCTGTGGCCTGGCGTGCCTCGTTCAGACATCTTTGTGCTGAGGTGACGCCGAGCTGGCAGCGAAGGGCTGGGGGTCGAGGTATGGAAAGTTGGGCCCATGGAGAATAATGACAGCATAAGTCACCGAAGGCCATAGGTCAGAGAAAGCAGATGCTTGTCATGTCCATGGAGAAAAGGAGAAAGGCCCAGGGTCTCAGGACTGTAAAATTTGGACGAGGCAGAGCACAGGGGTTTGGGTACATATAAATGTGTTTAACCAAGATAATCAGAAAAAAGCTTTTTTCAAAGATGGTTTGAGTAGAGTGAGGCAAGGAAATCCACAGTCTTGGTATTGGTGGGCTTGCTAAGGAAGGATGGGTCATGGCTTCTACGTGGAGACCTGAGTTCTGCTCCTGCCAGAATGGAGGATGCAAGAGCATTCTGTTTTGGAGAGGCCCCCTCAGTTTCTACTTGGTTTGCTAATGACTTTTTAAAACTTGGGTCTCTGAGGACATGAAAAGCAAGATAACATGTATTAGAGAAGTGACTGGCAGGAAGTGCCACGTTTATTCTTGAGACAGGATGCAGCCGCATGGGAGGGGAGGGGCCCTTGAGACCGCTCTCGGAATTCCCCTGAGCTGATCAGAACAGGTCCACAAGATTCGCCAGACATCTGAGTGTAGCTCAGATCCAATACAGGACCCTTCTCCTTTCTTGCTTTCTTCTTCTCTCCTCGATCCTGGATCAAACTGTCCCTGATTCCCTCACACAATCCCAAGACAGTTTTCTTGTTGAATTCCTACCTCGTTAAGTCTTCTTAGTCTTGATCTGAGAAACAAAACTAATTCAGATCAAAATCTAACTCAGAGAATCAGAGCTGAAAGATGTTTCTGGCCATCCCCAAATGACACAGGAGGTCCTGAGGCTGGAAAGCTTAGGTGACTTATTCAGGGTCACAACTCAGGCTTCCTGAGAACAGTCCCCAGCCTGTAGTTTTTGGCCCTTCTGGAGGAAGGGCAGAAGGATATGCATGAGGCGGGATAGCATAGGAGTCCCAGGTGGCTTGGGCACACACCCTGATGGCTCCCCTCCTAGTGTCCTCATTTCTGTTATGCCCGGGCCATCAGGCTCTGCCTCCTGATTCCTCTTCTTGCTCTCCCTTCAGTGGACCACACCAGGCAGCATGGAGGAGCTGAGTGGTGGCCCCTCCCAGGCAGCATGCATCCCAATGCCTAGTATCACGCTGTTAAAACTCTGTGATGGGGGCCTGGCCCAGTGGCACAACAGTTAAGTTTGCATGTTCCACTTCGGTGGCCTGGGGTTCACGGTTTGGATCCCGGGCACAGACACGCACACCACTTATCAAGCCATGCTGTGGTAGGTGTCCCACATATAAAGTAGAGGAAGATGGGCATGGATGTTAGCTCAGGGCCAGTCTTCCTCAGCAAAAAGCGGAGGATTGGTGGCAGTGTTAGCTCAGGGCTAATCTTCCTCAAAAAAAAAAAAAAAAAAAAAAAAACACAGAACTCTGGTGATGAGTACGGTCTATGACAAGTCTTAGAGGCCAGACAGATTCTGGATGGGGGAAAAGGAAGTGAATGTGAGTGAAAGGGAAGATCTCATACTTGATTATGTATTGTATTCTCCAAACCCCAAAGGCAGAGACACGCACACACACACATGCACACACAGTGGGATGGGATATTTGAAACCCTGACAGGCATGGAAAATCTAGGGCTAATGGTTGACCTAAGTGAAAGGTGATAAGAAAAAGCAAATTTTTGAAAGATCCAGCCTGAGAATGGGGACCTGTGACTCGCCTCGGAGCACCGCCAGGTGAAGTTAAGCATTATGATGACTGAGGATAGAGCCAGCCCAGGGTGCGAACTCGCTCAGAAGCAATTCCTGTCATCCCCGGGCTTACGTTTTAATGAGCCTGTAGATGCCTGTCAGCATTGTGTCATTGCAAAAGTGATAGCTTTTTCTGGAAAGATACTTTTCCCTCCAAGCCCTGGGCTCAGAGGCAGCTCTTCAAAGACAAACTGCTGTCTGATTCGAGCAGATGCAGATGGGGCGACGTTAAGCTGCTTCTGCCCCATTCAACTGTGATGAGATTCCAGCTAAAGTCAATATTCAAGAGACTGTGCTTGCAGGGGACTCTGGTGTTTTTAAAAAATAGAACGATCTGTCTGTGTGGCTGTATTTGTGAGTGTTTCTTTCAATAGAAAATGAAAGCGCATTTTTCACAAATTAAACTTTGGCCGTTTCTCATAGATAGTCTTTCCTAACTGAAAGCATGTTTGTCAAATCACCTGGAATTACCTTCATATGAACTTTGTCAAAATACTTGGCGCTGAAAATGGGCTCTGCTTGGGGGTCTCTTCTGGAAAGTTCTGGAGTCTGGAAGTGAATTCTGTGTTTTCCCTACTCCCTCCGTCTAGAAGCCTGAGCACCTTTGAAGATGACAGACACACAGGGTAGCCTGATGATGGCTCCCTTGCTGGGGTCCCACCTCCAACCGGGGTCATTCCAGAATGTTCTGTCTTGGTTCTTTCCACTCCCTTCACCCCTTCTTTCCCAGATGGAGAAAAGGGAGAGTGTGAGAGGAAAAGCAAGCAAACTTCCACTTCCTTCCCTTTCCCCCCAGTCCAACCCCCAACACACACACACACACACACACACACACACACACCCGGGGCTGGGACTCTCTCTCCTGTGAAACTGAATTCTGAAAGGCCAAGCCATTCCATCTGTGTTTTGGCTCAGTTGCTCCAAAGAGCTCAGGTGTCTAAATTTGGAATTTTCCCATGGCTTTAAAATTCTGTCCTGCAGATCTGTCCCCTGTAGGAAACCCAGGGGCCTTCCTTGGGTTTGTTTTTCTCACCCTGTAAAGAAAACAGAAAGGTTTAGGCCTTGTGGTGAGGGCTTAAGTAGGAAGGAAAGATAACTTAGATCAAAATACTCTCATTGTGGAATCGTAAGCCTGGGTTTCGTGTGTGTGTGGTGCCAGCTGGAAAAATGAAGACGAGAGTCAAATCTCTTTGGAGGGTTCGGAAGGGGATGCAAAACCCAGCCCTTTTCCTTCAGGAAGCATGTTTTCATACAGGTTTCTCAGAAACGCTCTCCAAAAGTGGTGAGGGAACCTCAGACTGAGAGAGACACCACGGAAAAAAAAACAGAAAGTGTTTGTTGTAATCGTTCATGACACAGTCAACTTTTGAATTGTGCAGTCATTATACACTGAAAGACACAAGCATGTATAAAAAGACAGTTTTGAGACATAAAATAGCTCACTAACAGCTTTATCTAGACTACAACTTTTTCTCTAGACTTGACAGAAATTGTTTAATGCTGGAATGTTACATTATTTATCTTGCCTGACCTGTTCTGTCTGTGAACGGAGATGTCTGTTTTTTACCTAGTCTGCAGGACTGTCACAAGGAAAGTAATAATAGAGTCACAGTATCAGAGGTCGAGGGGTCAAACGCCCCTTCCTAAAAGAGCCCAGAGCTATCTGAAGTCACTGTTTAATGTCAGTTCTGAGTGGAGGTTCTCAACGCCACAGACACCACAGACACTGTGTATCAACACCTCTCTGTCATTGTGCATATGTGCTTCCCCAAATGACTGTTTGTGCCCATAAAAGTTTATGTTTTAAGCTGGTTGTGTGGAATTTGGCACCCGTTTTCCAAATAGCCCCACAGAAGTGAATTTACTCTGCAAATTAACTGACCCACTGTGCTCTGAGTTTTCTTTTGTTTCTATGGGAAATGGATCCTGAGTTTTCATTCTGTGTTGGGACTTAGTGAACACTTCTCTCCCAGGAGGGGAGGATGGGGGTGAGGGAGGGGGATGGGGTGTGAGAGGGGACCCATTGCCCTGTGCTGTG